GTTTCAAACAAAACAACAGTAGGAAAAATAGTTTCAAGTTAAAACAACAGTAGGAAGAATAGTTTCAAGTTAAAACAACAGTAGGAAGAATAGTTTCAAATTAAAACAACAGTAGGAAGAATAGTTTCAAATTAAAACAACAGTAGGAAAAATAGTTTCAAGTTAAAACAACAGTAGGAAGAATAGTTTCAAGTTAAAACAACAGTAGGAAGAATAGTTTCAAGTTAAAACAACAGTAGGAAGAATAGTTTGAAGTTAAAACAACAGTAGGAAGAATAGTTTCAAATTAAAACAACAGTAGGAAGAATAGTTTTAAATTAAAACAAGAGTAGGAAGAATAGTTTCAAGTTAAAACAACAGTAGAAAGAATAGTTTCAAATTAAAACAACAGTAGGAAGAATAGTTTCAAATTAAAACAACAGTAGGAAGAATAGTTTCAAATTAAAACAACAGTAGGAAGAATAGTTTCACGTTAAAACAACAGTAGGAAGAATAGTTTCAAGTTAAAACAACAGTAGAAAGAATAGTTTCAAATTAAAACAATAGCAGGGAGTATAGATCCAAAATAGGACAATATTATGATGTATAGATCCAAATTATATCAACAACAGGAATTATATATCCAAATTACAAAACCAGAAGGAAATGTAGTTTCAAATTCTAGCATTAGTACGAAAGTTAGTACCAAATTATAACAGTAATAAGAAGCATACTTTAATATATATACACGTTCACTTGATACAGGTAAATAAATAAATACACACAATATGGTTAAATGATTGTGAGAAAGTTTCAGTCAGTTTATTTACGCTTGGAGGCGCCAGTGTTGAACTAGGCTACAAATAATGGCCAGCTGATCACAGCACGTAATCTTTAGCATGATAAGAGGTTAAACACCTCAACTTAGATTTGACGTCATCATATTTGTGCCATTAACCTTCAACTGCGTTAGTTTTAGGAAAGAGAAGTCATTTTACACCAATAATACATAAACTATACTTATTTTAGATGCCAATTAACGATTTAATACTTCACAATTTATTAAATTCAGAGAGTGCCACTAAATAAAACTATTAATAGATCGCGAGCTAAGAACTTCTAATTTGAATAATCTGGATGTTCCAAATATTATTAAGTACCAAAGTTACTAGACGTGTGACGTTATCAGTTTAAAAGCTATAACATTTTAACAGGTTGACAATTACAAATGTTACAATTGAAAATGTATCACACTAATAAGAATTATTACCAACACCAGACGGTGATGTCAACAATTTTCGGTTTGATAAACTTATGTTCACACGAGTACTATAAATAATAATATAAATACACAACATAGGAACAATGTTACACTGAGTGACAGCAAGTATTTTTAATAGTAAAGTTTTATCAAAAATTTTAATGTTTTTATTTGAAAATGCTCAATATTACATAATATTTTAGATACAAGAAATTCGTGCTACACCATGGTGTGTTCTGGCATAAAACATATATTTCTAACTCCTAAAGACAATCTATATTTCTCCTAGCGCTCGGGTAATAGTTTTTTTATTAATTTCCATATTTCTCCTATGTAAACTTCTTTTACAATAAAACACTGATAATCTGTGCTCTAAATACCGGATATAGAAGGTGTGTGTTTCTGTTCTCTGCTTAAGAACAATACAGTTACATATTTTTCAAAGTTACTTGATGGATAAAAAATAAAAAAACCGTGGCCTAAAACACAGAAATATTGCTGTGAGAAAACGCGAAATGATAAGGTCAAGAGCAAAAGGACTAAAACTGTTGGCAAGTTTTACTTGCTAGTCATCATTATTTTACCTCTTAATGCGAATGAATGGATAAAAGTAGCCTTGGAATCACTTTAATACAACCAACTACCCACTAGGACTAGGGAAACCCCACTGTAAAAGTTCAAGTTTTAATTCTATACTTGTGGCTTGTGGATTAATTGGCACACACATACACACCCGTCCGTTCTGGCAAAAGTCTAGACTGTATGACCAACGGGCTAAAATGTATATTTATCCTAAACAAAGCCCTGAAAAACAGGACCACCTTGGTCCTGCTTTGCACTCAGCCCCCGATGACCTAAAAGCTTATTCAAAAAAATGGGTTACTGGAACGGAGGTGTCGCGAGATCTTTGCCAATAATAAGACTTCGGTCATAAATCAACAAACAAACAAGATCACGAATAGCACAGCACACAAAAAATAATCTTTTTAAAAATTTCATACAATTAAAACTTTCCATGTTTAGAGGCATGTCATATTGAAACACAAATCTTATACAACTAAAGTCCTACATTTTTACAGGAATGTCGTATTGATACATAGTAGAAAAATATTTTACAACTAAAGTCCTATATTTTTACAGGAATGTCGTATTGATACACAGTAAAAAATCTTATACAACTAAAGTCCTACATTTTTACAGGAATGTCGTATTGATGCATAGTAAAAACTCTTTTACAACTAAAGTCCTACATTTTTCCAGGAATGTCGTATTGATACATAGTAAAAAATCTTGTACAACTAAAGTCCTACATTTTTACAGGAATGCCGTATTGATGCATAGTAAAAAATATTTTACAACTAAAGTCCTACATTTTTCCAGGAATGTCGTATTGATACATAGTAAAAAAAATATTATACAACTAAAGTCCTACATTTTTACAGGCATGTCGTAATAGATTTGAGATATTTAACGCTGTCCCCCATACTGTTACATTAAGAGTAATTCAAATGTATACAATCCTTCAAAGATACAGTGCTAGCCTAATTTTTATAGTTAAATAAATACAACGGAATATGAGCATGCCATATTGCAAAATAGTTGTTATTCTAATTTATTGGGCATTTGTTACTCAGTTTTAATACTGTGTATATTTTCTGTACGTTCCATGGCCGTGTGAATAGACTGTAAAATAAGTGAATATTCGTCGTCAAAACGGCCTTATATTCATTACATGATTATTGACACCTCATGGTTTTTTCTTCCATAAATAATTTATCGAAGCCTATACAGATAACTAGAAGCATGTAATTTCCGTGTGAAATCGTTCCATACCCCTCTCTTACCTTCACACCCATCTGTATATACATTCACTTTTATAGCCCATGGTTAGTCTACTCGTGTCTTACGATTTCGACGAAGGATATTATCATTATGAGCTCTCTCGTACAGCACAATTATATTACACATGACAACGAACTTGAGCAGTTTAATCCAAAAACCCCATACGCTCAACCCGAATATCCAGTTTTATTACTCACGACAACGAACTTGAGCAGTTTAATCCACAACCCCCAGAAGCTCAACCCGAACATCATCTGTTTCTGAGTCGAAAAGAAGAACACAAACGATTCACTTGATCGTCTAAAGTGTTTCTAATCTTTATAACATAACAAGAGATGACTGCAATATACTACAAAACTGTGGACATACAGGTAATGAACAATGTGTATGTGTGTATCTGGAATTTACACATTTAAACATGAATTAAAAGAGAGAATGTCCTAGTGCCCATTCACATAATCTTTATACTTTCCCCAACACTCATTACATTCAGAAAGCCGCTTTAAATAAAAATATAAATATCATCTCACAGTACTGGGTTAAGGCTCAAGTAGTAGTAGATTAGTACGATGTTTCAAGTTACCATTAGAGAGTATTTCTCCTATGGTAATTTTGTTTTTTAAAAATCATGTCCATATGTAGTAATTTAAGCTTGGAGTAATCTTTGTTCCTAAAAGTTACCTTTGATAAAATCCACTAAAAATTCAAATGGTTGTTTGAATTGGCTTGCGATTAGACGTAAAAATAATTCAGTAGTTATTATGAAAAGAAAAGGTGTTTTTAGCGACGATACTTTCAAAATTTCCGACTTCCTCCTTCTAAATTTAGTTGTAACAAACTAATTTTGACACATTAGTTTCAGCTTGAAAATCAACTCAAGATCAAAGTGACAAAGAAAGTGTCTCATTATAGCAACAAAGAATGTACGATGGGCTATCTACGTTTTGTTCCCCCTCGGTGATCGAGCCCTTAATTCTAGCGTTATAAATTCTGAAGTTTGTCATCGGGGGGTCGCAAAGTGAAAAGAGCTTTTTGGGTAAAAAAATAATCACAAATTAACGCATACTCAATGAAATAAGTAGAACTATAGTTGTTCTTTTTTTCGTTTTCAGGTCTAATATGTCACTCGCTAAAGTAATGGTAAGCATACACAATTTTGCAACAGATGCCTTTTAAACATTAGAGTGACGAAATTCAAAGGATACATTTATAAACTTTTTTCACGTGTAAAAAGAGCATTTTTATTGAATTTACTTAAGTCAGTGCTGACTCCCAAAACGTTAATAAAAATCTTGCTCGGCTATAGAAATAAGTTGCATTAAAAATAAAACTAATGCAGAATTGGTTTTCCTGAAAAACAAAATAAAATAAAAACAGCAGATAAGAAGACTGAAACTAAACACCATGCTAGCTAGTCAAGTTCTCGCTACCTGTGCTGTCAGAAAAGATATACCAACATCCCCTATCTTCCTTTCACTCCTCCTTACAGACCAGAGCACTCGACCAGCTCCCCTTATAACAAGACAGCCAATAGAACTTCGACTTTGAAGACGCTAAAGCGCAGTTGCTGGGTTAACAAAGACGTGAATTCAGCTGGAGCTCGGTCTCAACTTCCGCTTCTTTAGAAAACGACACAAGGCAGTGCATCTCTTCAAAACCGTAGTAATTAATCTATTCTGTTCTAGCCAAATGAAGGACTAATAATGCCACCGATGAAATATGTAATTACCTTGTAATGAGCTTCTTAACTGGACGCATGTTCAACACGTTTGAACTAAGAAAATTTGAAATTGTCCGGTCTTTACAAGAAAGAAATATTACTCGGCTGTTTGTACTTAATTAGCAAGTAAAGAGAGAAATCAAAAATTTAGTCTTCCAAACAATACTGATATGTGTGTTATTCCGTGATGGTAAGATATGGTTCCTTACTTTACCCGCACAACACAAAATGATGTCTACACACGTTCACTAATTACCTACACATATTTGAAATTACTATAAAGAAACATTGTGCAAGTAACACAGTCCTTATATCGAAACGTCTGGCTCTAACTGGAAACATTTTCGATAAAAAAAAGAAAAACTGTATGGTCTCTCACTTAATATTAAATCACATGCAACGCGAATAAAATCACGGTAGCCATTAAGGCCCGGCCCATACATAGTAATTAAACAAGCATTTTAAAGTTTGATAAATCTTTTTTGCTGGTTTGAAAGAAAAAAATGTTTCACAAAATAAAAAATAGTGTCATTAAAAATATTATTTCTCATCTTTATTACACATTTGATTGATTTAAAACCTACTCGCAACGAGTGGCATAACTCTTAGTTTTAAAAGTTGGGTGACAGTTGCTGCATCTGGGATATGCATGATAGCATTTTATCTACAAAAAAGGGAGGGGATATTCTACCTTTGAAAAAGTGTAAAAAGCATGATACTCGCGTCCCGTCCGTCCCCCGTGAAAATTATGCCCATTCTCAGAACTAAAGGGGAAGAGTGAGTTTGAACCCATTGTTTCTTTTTAATTTTTCTTATTGTTTCTATTTCCGAAAATGGAAACATTTCCTTTTACAAACAAGAAACTTGCGTTGTGTCTTACATGTATACAATTATATAAAGAGGAAGAAAAAAAAAACATTCCCACTCGTGCTACACTAATCAGAAGCCTCTTTATGACTAAGCCGATTGCCGTGGACTACAATTTACCCTGGTAACAAACAGTTAAGTGCTTTTGTTAGAAATTACGTTGGTCAGAGTACAGCCAACAGAGTGTTTCCAAGGCCGACGAACGGACAGGTCAAAACCCTCTAGCTCTCCTGCCACCTGGTGTACAAGTTCTTGTCTTTGTGTTTTGAGACTAACCTCCACCAGTCTAGCTCTTTGACGTTATTCAAACTTGTTCATATTACTCTATTACGCACTCTTGGTTTTCCAAATTACAAATTTACATACAAAAAAAGAACATCACAGGAAAACTTAACTGACAACGCACTCAGCGAACGTAAAGATTTGTTTACAAGGAAACTGAAACTTTTATTTTTGGAATTTCTTTGTGTGACAAACTTCTACTGAGCGTATTAAATAGTATTGGTTATTACAGTCAATAACTACGTATGATTGGTTAATTAAATTCTAAGGTTTTAACTTTATGTTACATATTCTAACATTTAGAGAAACAACAGTAAATAAGTTATGTTTGAACAGAAATAGCTCGAACACATGCTTAAATAATAAGTATTATGTATTTAGACAAACCAAAGATAACAAGTTATGTTTGAACTATCAGATACAACTCGAATATGTGCTTAATAACATTAAGTATTAATTTTCAACCTGGGTGAGTAACTTAGTAAATACTAGACCACCCGTGACCCGTTGGGTCACCCACTATTCAGAGGTTATGAAGAATTCAAGCTCATTTCAATATTGCACCGAAATGAAGGTTTACTTTGAGATAATTTAATTAAATATTTCAATCCATTCGTGTTATTCATAATTCAAGAAAAGATATTTTATTATCGATCAGGAGGAAAAGGAAGGACAATTTCATTTTTCAAAAAAGTGAAGTCAGAATTTTCA